GTAATGTTTTACATTTTATATACGAACATTCCTATAGAACAGGTGTGGCCAAACTTTTATCCCTTAGGGGCTACTTTTTTTGTTAAATATAGTCTGCGGGCGACTATGAATATGGGCAAACATTTTTAGGATTTTTATATGAGCATGCGTTAATATTTGCATTGTTCATCGGGATAAATACAAACAGTACGGGTACGTTGCACAGACAGTCTATTATTGTAAGAATAAATTATCGAATTAAGATTTTTAAACATTAAATGGAAGCAAATTGTTCAACTTTAGCTTCGCGGGCTACTTTCAAAACCAAGACCGGTCGACCGTTGTCTAGGTGTTGGCCATCCCTGCTATAGAATATATATATATAATTACCATATACTATTTTTCTACTAATCGCGTGTTATTTTGTATAATTACAATTCACAAGATCGCAAGAATGACATCTAGGTAGCAGTGCGGTGAGAGTAGCAGCTCTCGGGGACCTGAGATCGAATCCCGTCCGGTCGATAAACCCCTACAGTTTTTCGAGGTTGTCAGTGTAGATATCTCGAGTTCCGTCCCTCACCACCCGCAGACCCATTGTTGGTTTATTATGGCCGAATCCATAGTGGGTTCGTTAAAAAGGCCGTCTTAGTGCTGGCAGGACAGAAAGTGTTTTTAAAAACAGACCTTTAAAAACGTACTTTGATAGGAATTGGATATTTTAACAAATAAATGTAAATTATATGGTTCTTATTCCTATGTATACAGTATACGAAACATCTAAACATGATTAATGTGGCTGCAATTTGAAAAAATTGTAGATATAAATTTCCACTGACGTCCGCAATTTGAAAAAATTGTAGATATAAATTTCCACTGACGTCCTTCCTTAATCTCGAGAAGGGAATTAGATATATTAAATTCAGTACTAGATGTAGAAAGCTTAGGGATACGAGGCCCAGATTAACTGTATGCAAACTGGAAGTCACGTTATTTCAATTCAAAAATTTTTTCCTGAAAGGAATTAGATGACTGGCATTGCTCCATTGCTAACAAGAAAAGTATGGTGTACAGTACAGAAGCAAGACACTACTAATTTGAGGTGGAGAGCATATATTTTAAATAAGTTAAAAAAAATATGATTAATATGATATATTCAATTTTTAATAAATTGTATCCCGGCATTCTGACGATGCCACAATAACTAATTGCTGGTCATAATTAAATTCCTTAACTTTTAAAACTTTATATACCTATGACTAGTTTAAAGACCAGAAAAGTATTTCATTATCTTATTATTATGCTTCTTATATAATACGTTTCCTCAGTGTTTTACTTTTACTAAATTGATTTTTCTGGAAATTTACTTTTTTTTAAATAATTTTTTATTATTTTTTCTTTAAAATGTTTTATCACAAATAGAAAACATTTTTTAATTAATTAGTTTTCTAGGTTTATATTTTTATTAATTCAATTGGTTTTGAAAATTATATATCAAGAGTTGTTGGGTGTTGAAAATTTACATTTTGTCACTTTATATTTTTTGTTTTGTTTTGACTTCTGGCATTCTCACATCCAATCGCGCTATGCATAATAACCTTGTAAATTCTAGACCTACGACAGCTGAATTAATTTCGGTACAAAAAAAAAATCTTTTATTATAAAGATGTCCTTTGAAAAGATTTATAAACGTAATGAGGAAGTTTCATTGATTATTTTGATTTTATTTATTACTCAGCAGTTTTCAAACTTTTTTGGCCTGTTGCCTACTGTAAAAAGTGAAAAGCTTTTCTGTCGCACTTCCTATATTTTTGATTTTGTTTAATAAAAAAAATATAATATATTTTAAATTATAAATAGTTGTGTACTATAATTATTGGATGTAATAAATAATGTTGTTAAAAATGAATTTCTTTTGATTTCTAATAAAGTGAAAACTGCTTATGCGACCACTTGCATTATTTGACGGGCAAAAATTTCTGGCACCGAATAGTTTATCCATAGAGTCTTCGTATAAGTTACCTGTATTAAACGACCACCTGTGTAACGCGACCGCGGGCATCGATTTTTAGTCCGAAACAACATACAACAACTGTAATAAAAGCGACCACTTTCGCGAATGTATCTGGTCTAAACTATTGTAAGAACCCATCTCAACAACGTTTCCACCTCCTAATATAATGAATTAGTCTAAACTCTCGTTCGAACCCATCTCAGACACTTCTCCCAACCTTGAAATTAGGTGCAGGTGTTAATAAATTAGTCTAGCAACAAAG